TGTATTTTTTGAGATGGGAAAATACCATTGAAATCCCGACACTGTTACCGTTACTGACACCTCTGTACATAAGTATTTACATAATATGTAGATACTTATATACATTTAAGATACTTTTATATAGAGGATAGTAGGTAAAACTTACAAAAAGTAAATTCGCCGATTTGTAAAATTGAAGAATACATCTTCATGTAGTCGGATTTCTTACGAACATTCGTTGGAATATAGGTACTAATTTTGTTAATGTGATATTAAAACTGTCTTTGTGTAGCGAATTAACCAACATATATATTGTCTCTAATATAAATACATACCCTATTGGACTTCTTTTCACAAAGTAGCCTGGGCCATAATTCTAATATTTTATGTTAACGTACAACCCATTCAATGGGTCAACCCATTCATCTCAATAACGTGTCAATGGAATCACAATGGGTCCCATTGTGATTCCATTGACACGTTATTGAGATGCCATTGACATCGGTCAAAATATGGCTATTCTACTAACATAAATTCAGTGTAAATAGACTGTCGATGTAGCGACAATTGCTCATCAATGGTGACATTGATTACCATATCTGGATAATTTAATATTTTCAATTCCTCACAAATTTAAAATGTAACGTTTACCAGATTATTACAAAGACGACGACATTGATACTAAGTGGCAGTTCAGTGACAAGGTGACAAGGCTATTGGTCTTACATATGTAGTTAGTAGAATATGAAAGATGCAAAACTATTCCGACGACATTACATCCACAGTCTATCAATACAATTTTAAAATAGCATAATTAAGCCCTTTACACTTCCCTCTAAAGTCCCGTTAACCCCTATACCAAAATCCATCAAAATTGTTTCAGTCGTTTAGACTTAATAAAAGTGCTAAATAAATAAAGTTACTCGTAAGTATAAATTTATTACAAAACTACGATATTAGAATACATATACCTCTTCTGTAAGCAAGATTACTAACTAACCTTTTTGGTTAGATAATGCGAACGCGGTGGCTGGCAATACCGGTCGCGTGTATATGTGGAGTAATCGTTAAACAAAGTGGCCACTTTCTCACACCCACATACACACAGCTGTTCAACAAGAACCGATTTATCGATCATAGTAACTGATTGTAACGTGTCTTTGGGCACGTATTCACTATCTAGCTGTACCCTGCCACGCTTGGCAGTAACACATTAGGGTTTTTTTTTCATAATAATTCATAATACTTTGTTTGTGGAATATAGGTTAGTTACAGATCTTAAATGTTATGTTAAAGTTCCACTACATCCTACCACATTACGTGGTGTACAAATAATAAATCGAGAAAATAATAATTGCAATTTAAATACATCACAAAAGAAAGAAGAAAAGACAATTTATGCTCTACAAATATTGAGTCCAAGTAATTACATAATAATTTATCTGTATGTTAATTTGCATTGATGAAAAGTAAAGAACAAAACTCAAACCAAAAAATAGATAAAAACAATCTTTGAAGCGAGTTGCATGATATCGTGTCAAAATTTGAGCTCTATCGGTGCAGAACTTCTTGAAACGGACACAAATTTAACATTTTTGTATATTTATAGATTTAGATGGAAGCAGTCGGTCCCAGTTGCCTGGTAGAACATCTGTGGCAATCGTTACAGGTAGTTGGGAGCCCTAAAAAGTCCGATAAGTCTTTCTGCTAGACATTGAAGTTTTTGCTACTTTTAAATCATATTCATTTAATGAAATGATTCGTTTTATACAAAGCTATTTCACATTTGATTGTGATTTCGTCATGGACAAAGACATGTAGCATTAAAATCAATCAAAATTCTTTTTATCAAATAATACGTTTTTTTTTTTAGATTAGTTATAATTATAATAATAATTAAGTAGCAGCGGTTTTGTAAATAATTCACAGGTGTGGTGATATGCTTTTTAAATTATATGATTTTTCACATGTGATTGTGATTTAATGCCATTTCTACTTTACTTACTGTGCTTGGGTTGTGGAGGTGCGATGGCAGTCGCTCCGCGTAAAAATCAAAGTGCAGCCGTATCGTTAGTAGATAGAGTAGTAAGCCGACCCCAAGCAAGTTTGGGAAAATGCTCGGAGGCGGAAGTTTTTTCGACTAAGGATTCTACATAATGATTGGCTTAAGTTTAAAGCATTTCAAATTAATTTGCATCTTTAATTTATACTATTTAGGCATTATAATTATTTATTTTCTTCTTATCCGACTTCTAAAAGGAGGGGGTTATCAATTCGGATGTTATTTTTCATGTATGTTCGGGCATAACTCCATCATATATTCTTTCTATCTTCATATATCATATATGAAGATAGAAAGAGAATAATTCTAAGAATATCGAGAATAATAACTACCCTATGTCCTTTCCCGGGATTCGGACTATCTCTATACCAAATTTCATTTAAATCAGTTCATCGGTTTAAGCGTAAAGAGATAACAAACAGATTGACAGACAGACTTCTCATTTAAAATATTAGTATGGATCATCATCGACAGCCTTTAGTAGTCTACTGCTAGTCATAGGCCTCTCCTTAGAAAGGAGGTTTTGGCCTACCATAACACGCTGGCCAGACGGGTTGGTATAGTTTGTTTAAAGTTTTACTTCTCTTTGCCTGCGTAGTTTGCTCCCTTAGTCGACTCTTTTCTGTACAAATAAATAAAATTAAAGTGTATGTTTGTAATGTCAAAATAATAGGTTTTTTTCATGCTCACACGGTTATTGGCACGATACCTATGCCTAAAAACCAGTTTAATTATTTTTTTGTCTATCTGTCTGTTTGTTCCGGGTAATCTTCTAAGCGGCTGGGGCGATTTCGATAATATTTTACTAACAGGTAGCTGTCTACATAAGGAATAACTTAGGCTATTTGTCCTCTTAGAAAAACCCTTTAAAATTTGGCCCGGTCCGGGCATCGAACCCACTTAAGCAGCGCTTTTCAAATTTTTTAATACGTAATACACATAAATGATTACGCTCTTACGACACCCAAGATTAATAGGGGTAGTGAGACTCCGTATTCTTGATCCGTTACCGCACGGATATTTTTATATATACATATATAATTTTATATTATACATAACATCATAAACTTTCAGATAACAAAACGTTTATTAGGGACCATCCATAAATTACGTCAAACCCCTCCCCCACCTTTAATGTGTATTTTTGAAACGGTGAAGCTAGTTAAAATTATAATCATTTCAAAGGCGCATTCTGATACGAAGAGAACTTGATCTTAAAATAATCACGTCAGTCACAGTACAGCCGCGTATATTCGTACTGTAGTATTTTGGCCATGTCTCTTGCCGTGTCTACATTCCACCATCATCATCATCATCAACAGCCTATAACAGTCCACTGCTGGACAAAGGCCTCTCCTTAGAAAGGAGGTTTTGGCCTATTATACCACGCTGGCCAGACGGGTTGGTATAGGGTTTGTTTCAAGTTTTCCTTCTCTTTGCAGTGCTGTTTTCCCCTTAGTTTGCCCCCCTTAGTCGACTCTTACGACACCCACGGGATGAATAAGGGTGGTGACATTTTGTATTCTTAATCAGTTACCACACGGAACAATCCGTCACCACACCACATTCTACAATATGATTAAATAAAATAAGTAGTTTAAAATACCTATTTCTTAATTTCCTTTTTTTTTTTGGCAAGCTGACGATATACGTTTTTTTTTATGGCCGAGGTTAACGTAACAGTTATAATTATTATAATACTTGGTCACTCTAGTTTACATAATTAAGAAGTTGAAGCAACAATATAGTGAATTAAAATATAATTGACGTCGTATCTTAAATATATATTGATGTAACCAAAATAAATAAACTGTTTACAATAATAATAATAAATAAAGCGATTCACAACTATGTAAGTTGTTTATTGTTATTACCGTTTGTTTTTTTTTAATCTTTATAATATACTTGACAGTATTGTGACTGAAGAACATTAAAACAGTAAATCTCTTTTATTGGGGCCGCTGAGATAAGGCGTCCTGTAACTACCTACATTCGAATAACTTTCCTCATCTCCGTAGTTCTGATTAATGTAAAAATAGACATCTTACCTTGACTCCCTTGCAGTTGTTCTTTATATTTTTCAAAACCGGTCTTATCTGTAGAAAGGAACTTTATCGTTTCACTTTTGACTTATTCTTTCAGTAACAAGATATCTTAGTTGAGCTTATTTCGATAAACTGGTAAAGATTGAATATGTTTTAATTTACTAATACTACTTTTAGAACTAGACCCAAATGTTATTCTAAGTAATATTAAAATACAATAACGTAATAGGGCTAACGAAAGAACCTAAAAAAAAAGAGCAAGTAACACATCCCACCTCCACGGACGCTGTTACTGCACTATTTTGTTTTATTATCGGTAGAAATGTTTACTCAGTAGTCAGTAGTAGAATTAAAGTATTGGAAGAAAGACGCACTGGCATTAAATTTTTTTGAAGATTTGTTAAGAATTTATCGTCCTTTTTAATACGAAAATATCAAGGTTGATTTTGTCTGTAAAGCTAAAATGTTACATAATGGTGTCTAATTAAATAAATAAAAAATGGATATTTCACAATTTTTTTATTTTCACGTTGGTCACACTGTGTTAACGTTTTATTATTGCTACTTAACTTTCGTACCTCAAAGTACGAAAATCAGTATTATGAAAATAAAAATTATATTAACCGTATTTTCAGTATTAAAATTGTTTCTTTTGTATTTAAACTTCATGAACTTTTCAAAATTTTACTTGCTTTCTATGTAAGACTTGTAAAAATTAGGCTTTGTCAATATAATTATGTCAACCTTTCACTTCGCAACTTGATGAAACGCAAAAATCGACGAGAAAGAGAAAGGTCAATGAATTACTATACAAAATGGCCGATGAACGTCGTAAGGCGTGTCGCGGATTCTGCTAGCGAATTACGCCATCTCGGAATCGGATACCATTGAACTTCAGTGAAAAGTTTACGTGTTTATACTGGTTCGTAACTTTGTTTTGTGATTACTAATAAGGTGGTTATTTGATGTTCGATGTCCAGCCTGTCGCTGCCGAGGAGAGTCGCTCCATCTGCACTTGGAACACAATGGAGCCGCGTTCGGCCTGATCGTGAGGCCTCGCCGCGCGTGCCCGGAGGCTGCATGTTCGCCTCGCGTGGGCCTGTGTCAATCGCGGTCGCTTCGCCCCTCGCGAAGCCTCGTAAGCCCGCGCGCCGCTCTCGCATTCTAAGTATGTCGGTTTTTACAGCGGCGCTGCCGGGCATCGCGTCTGCCCGCCGCCAGGCATCGGGGCTTCGCCCCCCGCGAGTCGCCGCGCGCGTTCGGAGCCCTAGCTCCATCCGGCCCTTGAGCGGAGTCGTTCAGGTAAGTTTTCTCATGGTTCCCTACGCAGGTGAGCAATATTGATCGCGGCGCCATTTTGTAAAAGTATAAATAGAAATTTGGATTTCGTGATGGATGAAGTCATTCTTGTGTCAATATATAAATATTCTTGTTGTAATTAATCTTAATTAGACTGTATTCCCAATTTTTCAAAGAGTTTGTCCCTAATTGACCTACATTAGTCATATACAACTGTTATAATGTAATCTCATTCCAATCAATAAATGTTCATAATTAAGTATTTTCATACTACAATTAGCCCTACTTTTTGTCAAATGAGGTCACATTCGTTGGAAAGTATAAACTCTCTTTGTGTAAACTACACAAACTGTATTCTAGTTATGCAGTTGTAGATATTAAAGGTTTTATCAAACCATTTGAAGTAGAACAAAGATGGTTTTATAGTTATTAGTCATCACATTATGGTAAGGGCAGAGAAAAAAATCATTCTTACTTCAATACTTAGGTATTTTGTATGATCAGTTAAGCATTTCACACCTTAATTTCTCGAAACAGCCCACCTCGAACTTGCTGAATTTATTTAATTAATTATGCCAGTATGACTTACAACCAATACCTTTAAATATATTTCTGCAGTTTGTCACTGATTTACAAAATCCCTTATATTAATTTTATCTTCGTTTAAACGTATTGAAATACAAATAAAATATTATGCAGTGAACTTCTAACGGTAAAAGTCATTTTTGTGTAATTCTGATGCTGTTTAATAAAGAAGTATCCCACACTTCCGTTCAACCATTCAGGAAAGACATAGCTAAATAAGAGCATGTCAATAAACCTGACACTAAGGATTTTTTGCTGTGGGTCACCCAGTTTTAGGCACAAATAGGCAGAAGTGATATGTCCGTGTGGTAACGGGTTAAGAATACATAGTGTCGCCACCCCTATTCACCCCATGAGTGTTATAAGAACCGACTAAGAGAGCAAACCACACAGGACAACAGCACTGCAAAGACCCTATACCAACCCGTTTGGCCAGTGTGGTATGGTAGGCCACAACCTCCATGTCCATGTCCAGCAGTGGACTATTAACGGCTATTGATGATGATGATGATACCACAGCCTCACAGAAGACCAGTGTTAAGCAATTCTTTTGTTGCTTTTTATTGAGTGAGTGATCTGTGCCTAAAGTGTCCTGTGCCATGATTCTGGGAGGAGGGCCTCAAAAGGCAACCATGTTCATGGGTGGTGGTAGCCACTTACTATCAGGTGACTACCTATATAAGTACATACCTTTGAAATGCCAGGTAGTCAGGCTGTGACCAGCGGAATCTGATTGAAATGTAACCTTTGAAATTTAAACCGTGGTGATTCCCATTAACATGATTACATGACTGCACGGATGGTGTAGTCATGTACTCATGTTAATGGTTTAGCCGCCACGACGCTTCGTACTGGAACACACGGGACACCTATGTGTTTGACTCACAAATTGTGGTTCTGGGTCTGGGTGTTCTTTGTGTCTGTTTCATGTATGTTTATAAAGTCACTCATGACACAGGCTAAATATTCCTAATGCAGGAGTTGTCATTTAAAAAAAACATTAAACTGATCCTTTAAGCTTAAAGATCAGAAGCTCTCCATATTATTTTAAATGTCTTTATTCCTTATTTATGTCTATGTATTGTGAGAATAGTGTAAATAAAATATGTTGACACTAAGTTTAGTAGCTTTACATTTTGTTAATCAAACAGCACTAATTTCATGTTACAAAATGTAACTAGGTACCACAAAAAAAATCTCCAACTTCAGTCAAACAGTTATTGTGGTTTAAATTAGTGATGTGCCGGATATCCGTATCCGTATCCGCTGATATCCAAGGGAGAAGAGAGATCCGTAACCGTATCCGTGACTTTTTTGGCGGATCTTTCAATACATATTAAATAGATGAAATTCTATATAGGTGATTTTGTATTCACTGTAAAACTCTTAGGTATGTGTTTGTAACACTATAAACAGCAACTTTTTTCGGGCCAACGAAAAAATGAAAAAAAATTGGTTCTCCATTCAAATAACCAATCAAATGTTGTTAGTTTGTATGGAGAAACCATTTTTTTTCTTTCGTTTTCGGTGTTAGTCCAGAAGAAAAGTTGTTGTTTATAATTTTACTAATATGCTATATAATATATAAATTTTCAGTAAATTTAAAATAACCCTTAATAATGGTTATTAGGTAGCTATGAAAAACTATTGAATTCTGTTCAAATTACTTTTTAATTCTTAAAACAAATATTTGGCACGTTTGTATTGCAATCATTTATCGTACTATACAAAATATAAAGAGCTATCTTTATAATGAGATCAATCAAACATCTTTGTATTAGCTTATTAAAATAATGAAATATTTAAATTTCAACGGCAAAGCGTCAAGTGGCGACAACTATCAAGGTCACGGGCTCCGATTGAGTAAGAAACTTAAGATCCGTATCCGTATCCGCGGATCTTGACACCAAATATCCGTATTCGGATCCGTTTCCGCGGATATACTTTGTTAACGATCCGGCACATCACTAGTTTAAATTTATCATCTGCCTACCTTTATCCCAATTGTACCTGGGGCCGCCCCCAAATACAATTGGGATAAAGGTAGGTAGGGAAAAATCATATATACTGCGTCGGCGCAGTATGGATGATTTTTTCTGCCTACCTTTTCCTTTCTGCTAAATCATTCGTCATTTGACAGTCCATCCACCTTTTCTTTGGTCTTACTCCTCAAAGGCCTCGTTTGCCTCATATATGATACCAGTAATAATTTCAAAACGTGACTGCATTTTTTAAAATTAAAATATGGTCATGATATTGAGTGGCCTGTTGGTCTAGGTCTAGGCCAGAGGTCGTGGGTTCGATTCCCACCCATGACAAATAATTGTGTGATGAGCACGGTCTTTTGTTCTGTGTCTGAGTGTACTTTATCTCTAATATGTATGTATTTAGAAATATATAAGTATGTAAATCTGCAGTCTGGTTACCATAGTACAGGGTCTGCCTAGTTTGGGATCAGACTGCCGTGTATGAGATGTGTGAAAATATTATAATTAAATAATATTAAATACCATTTTAAAATAATCATGAAGGCCCCTTTAATTTAATACCCATATTGCAGTATCCAAAAATAATAATACTTTTTACTTTAAACTATAGCGTCTCACAGTCGTCATGTTGTTTTTTTTGTGTTACCTGTCTAAGAACACTTGGGTTACCCAGACGAATCTAAGGATATGTTAATTAAATAGATCCGTCCGGTTCGGAAGATATGAGGTAAAAAAGTGTATTACATGCATACATACAAGATGCGCGCGAAAAACACAACTCTTTCTTGGCAGTCGGGTAAAAAAAACCTTTAATAATGTTGTAACCAATAATTTTATAAGTCCGGATATATTTTTCTGTGTTTTGGTTAGGTCATATGTTCGATTCCAGGGCCAACTTATTATTATTTTCTTTTCATTTCTGCTATCGCACACAGTTACAGAAAACTGGTGTTATCGGAGCTCAATACTTAATAATTAGAGATGACACGAAACGTGATTTAGCCGAATAATGAATATTCGGCGATGCTCCTCGCCGAAGCGCCGAATATTCTACTACTTACTTAGTACTTTGCGTATGACGGATTTAAACCTGCATCACTCCTCTCGCATGATTGGTTTGAATAACAGTAACAACAGACTTTATTTATTGTTACATTAAACTGTATCTCTTACTATTAATGTGATTGTCTTAAATTTTGTTCGCTAAAAGCTTTGCGAAATGACATCATTGAATAAAAGGTCCCTTATTTCTGAATTTTATTAAATTTATACAAATAAAACAAAACAATATACCTCAGCCTATGCTTGTCCACTGCTGGACCTAGGCCTCTCCCAATGATTTTGACAAAACAATAAATTGACAGTATTTTTGCTGCGTCATTCTGAAAAGTGAAAAAATGCCCAAAAAGCCGAATACCAAATAGTAGCCGAATATTCGTGTATCTTGAATCTAATACCTTTTAACGAGCAATTCTTGTATATATTATTTGAATCTCGGAAACTGCTCCAACAATCCTGGGGTTTTCTTGGGCGATTAATCGATCTATCTAGGTTTCATTTTTAGAAAATTTACCAAAAACAAAAAACCGAGCAAAACTCGGTCATCTAGGAACTAATTATAAATCAGTTAACGAGTTAAGAATAATATTATTATACCATTTACCACTGACCGAAAATAGTAATCACCTTTTATTAACCCTACAAGGCTCAATTTTTTTTTCTTAGCTGATTAAATTATATAAGATGTAGTTAGTGTTAAGAAATTAGGGGAAATAAATAAAAATGTTGAAAACCGAATATTGAACTAGAAAATCATAATTTTATTTCAGTTCCATATATGGTACACTGTGCCTTAAATCTAATTTTTTAGCAAAGAACAGGAACATTGAATTATTTTAGTAACGGCTTAGCATATGAATTTATTTAGTGTTAGTGTGTGTGTGTGTGTGTGTGTGTGTGTGTGTGTATGTGTGTGTGTGTGTGTGTAATTAACAATATAATCAAAATATTACAAAAAGAATTAGCGTCTACTGATGGAACTTCCTAAAGCAATTGTTAATTTTGTTCAGGCATAATTCAACTGCACATTTCTCACAAAATATGAAGGTTTTTCTTTTGCAACTGGGATATTTACACCGTTGCCTTTTTGTACCCCAAACAGGAAGATGACAGAATCCATCACGTCTGACGTCAACAGGAGGTAAGATTGCTGAAATGGGCTTCTTTCTCTTTATTTCAATATCATCATCAGGCAAACTTGACGGTCTGCCTCTTTTCTTGGTAATCGATGGCCCTTGCATACAGAGAGTTTTTCCTAGATCAAGTTTGAATTCCCTTAGCTTGAGTGGGGTTGATTTTCGCTTCTGCTCTCCAACTCTCTTGTAGAATAAACAGCTATTTATAACAACTACATCAAGAAGATAAAATGATAAAAAAGCCTCAAATACCATTTTCTCGTCCAAATTTTTATTTTGTATTTTCCTAGAAACGAGTCAGTAAGTCCACACCACCCATATGCTGATTATACGTTTTGACTACTTGGGGACGATCTACTTGTATATATTTTTTCTGTTTCTTGCAGTAGGTACCTCTTTACGGATTGTGACGGCTGTTGACCCACAAAAGATGATGATAAGACAACAGGTTTGCTATCGTACCATAAAACTGTTACGACATCAGTTCCATCAACATCAGCCACCCATTCTTCGGAAAATCCCCTCCACCTTATCTTTTTTCAGGTCCTTTAGAGAAGGTTTTTGAAGGTCTTTTCCTAAACGACCTTTGTTCACTGTTCCTAACGATTGAATTCCTTCTTTGGCCAAATATGAAATCAGTTCTGGAGACGTATAAAACGATACAGAACCCTGGTTTTTAGTTCTATTAGCTAAAGGGATAGAAATTGAGGACCGTCTTGAATTGCGTGATTGCCTGGGGTCATCTAAAGTAGATTCTGAAAATGCACCTGATGTACTGGGCTGAGAAGTAGATCCACGAACATCCACGGTAGCTGGAGACAAACTTCGTGATATTTCTATGTCGCTAGTTGATTCCGCAAAGAGATTGAGGGTAGGCTGGATATTGTTGATGTCATCATCGCTTTCAGCTTCCGAATGATCTTCCTCATCCTCACTACCTGAGGGTATATCGAGATAATCCTGAATTTCATTGTCGCGTAATAATCGGTTCGACATAATCTGTAAAAAACAAGGAATTCGTTAGTACAGTTATGGTATGTATACATATGAAAAAGATAACCTAAAGCTCACTGTACCATATGTGGCACATCCATAAAAATACAATTCTAGAATGCAATTAATAAATAAATGAAAAAAACTAGCTTACCTCTACAAAATTAACACTTTTCACGTTACACAATATTTTTATCCGGTTCAAAATCCTTCAATTAATATTTTTTTAGTAATTTTTGAATTTGCACCAACAAGAAACGTTAAATGATTGTCTCAAATTTCACACTTTGCCGTCGCTTTCGAAAAAGTAATGACATCTATGAAAAATGTCTCGCATCATATCGTTACTGCCTTAGTAGTGTACCTATAAAAATCACACAGACGTCACTATGAGTATTGTATAAATCTATAAGAAGCATAAAAGTGGTTGTCCCGTATATGGCACTGGGTGCCTTGTAGGGTTAAATTGTTAATGTGGAGGCCAAGGCAATCATGCATTGGTATCCTCTTCATCATTTCCTCAGGGGTTTCCTGATCATTGTGTTTCAGGATGTCGTCCCGACGGAACGGGTCGGTGTCTCGGGCGGCCGAGGCTGCCTCAAAGAACCGACTTCATATGGATAGGAATCCACAACATTCGAGAATTACTGGTCAGTATTTTATAAATATATGCATTTTTTAGTTAACGAGATTACCCGCTATAACCAGTTCGAGAATGTTACCTTTCTTAATCCTGGACATAGGGGTCTCCTTAGAAAGGAGATTTTGGCCTACTATACCACGCTGGCCAGACGCCTCTCCTTAGAAAGGAAGTTTTGGCCTACTATACCATGCTGGCCAGACGGGTTGGTATAGGGTTTGTTTCAAGTTTTCCTTCTCTTTGCAGTGCTGTTGTTCTGCGGAGTTAGCTCCCTTAATCGGCTCTTACGACACCCAACGGGATGAATGGGGGTGGTGACGTTCCATATTCTTAATCCGTCACGGATATCTAAAATCTAGCTACTAGCAACTCTGTTTATACTATTTTCTGATAAATAAATCTATATTATTATTGCGAGATAAAGTTACCAAAATTACTAGGTTTTAAGTATCATTTTTACTTATATTCCTTCATTCAGCAGATCCCTCGAATCCGGCCGGACGTCGGAAAGAAATAGACAACGTGATGAAGAGAGCACGCCAAGCTTCTCCAGGCAGCTGGGATAGAAAACTTTTAGAAGTTGAAGAGAAGGATCCCAACAGGTAAATAGATATATGACGTAAAAAATTGTAGTTTAAAACACGCTTTGGTAGAGACTTGCTTGCCGGGAGAGCCCTGCTTCGAAGACATGGCAATTATTGCTACTATTAAATCATATTCAAAAATAATAATATTGTACCACATTCACACAACGCCATCTAGTCTCAAACTAAGCAGAGCTTGTACTATGGGTACTAGACAACTGATATAAATACACATAGATACTTTTTTTTGTAAATACATACATATTAAACATAGAAACACCCAGAACAAATGCAATTGATGAAATGACTGGTTTTAGTCACTGTGATAAATTTATACGTGGTGGTGATAAATATATACATAGATGTGGTCATAGACAGAGATAAATGCCATTAAAATCAATCAAATCACCCTGATAATTAATATTATTTAACGGGAATTAACGCGATCTCTTATTTTGCACGGTTGCACCGGCCGTGGTCACAGGCTGACTGTGACCACGGCCGGTGCAACCTGGTCGAAACGTCAGGCAAACCAGAGGTATGTAATACCCTAAATAAGAGATCGCGTTAATTCCCGTTAAATAATATTAATTATCATGGAACGCGAAAGTTTAAAAGTTAGTATAGAAAATCACCCTGTTTCTTTTTTACATTCAGAACTTTCGAATGGTTGGCACCATCGTAACAATAAGTCGCAGTGATATTGTAGATAAGTCACAGATGTATTGAAGTTATTTTTAAATCATATGATTAATCACATTTGATTGCCATTTTATCCCATGCCTACTATGCCTGATTGAGATGAGGTTACTCGAGGGTCGGTATTCAATTAAAATCAGATAACACGTCTGCCACTAAAAAGAAAACTCCCACTATTCAGCTCCTGGGTACTACATCCTAACATCTTTACATAGCTGCTTGGGTTTTGATCGACTAGACGACTGCAGTTAACTGGATTATGGTGGCACTCATTAAATACACGAGCCACTCTTAGGAGGCGTCTAGATTAACGATAGCCTATTTTAAAAAAAATACTACGATGGACCAGAATATTGGCTCAGTATTATGATACATTTGTTAAGTCAGATATAAGAGCATTATAAACTATAACTAGCCCTTGCCCGTGGCTCTGCCTCTCTGAAAGTCCATGGCAAACTTCATTAAAATCGGTTCAGCCGTGAAAGCGCAACAGACAGACAAACAGAATTACTTTTTGCATTAATATTAGTAGGCCAGACAGGACCGTCTAATTCCAAACTAGGCAGAGCCTGTACTATAGTAACCAGACTGCTGATAAACATACTTATATATTTCTAAATACATACATATTATATATAAATTACACTCAGAAACAGAACAAAGTATGGTGCTCATCACGTAATTATTTGTCCTGGGTGAGGAACGGACCCATGACCTTCAGCATGCGTTCAGGATTACCAGCCTCAGGACCATCAGGCCCCTCTTTCGCTAATACTGATGTTACGCCTCAAAAGTTATTGGAACCAGGTTCTTTATCGTGCGTTACACGCTCTAAGCAGATGGGAGCGTCTGCCAAAAAGCCAAAGGAACTCCGTTCCGATCGGATGTCCATAGACCCCTCTCGCCGTTTAGACGCCTCACGCTGAGACCCGCGGTGTTACCCGCGTTTGTTGTTATAACCGCGGGCAACGCCGCGGGGTGAAGCTAGTCTAAAACAAGTAGCCTAAGTTACTCCTTATGTCATCAGCTATCTGCTAGTGAAAGTCCCGTCGAAATCGGTCCAGCCGTTCCAGAGATTACCCTGAACAAACAGACAGACAGACGACAAAAATTGTAAAAAATGTTATTTTGGCATATGTACCGTGTAAACATACATATGAATTAAGTAAAAAGCGGTTATTTTAATATTACAAACAGACACTCCAATTTTATTTATTTGTATAGATACAGTCACCAACAAACAAGTTTATTTAACCATCAAAGTTACATTTTGATGAGTTCTCTGTCTCCTAAACTGGGTTGATGTACCTGTATCTTAGTAGTCAGCATACAGTGCCCACCTTAAATAGAGGTACAATGGTTACAGCAGGTTTTTGACCGTTTTTTTCCCCCTTTTCCCTAATCATAGTACATCGAGACCTTGATAATCTTATACTACATGCCTAATCCACACACTATCCCTTGAATGGTATTATACAGCAGGGTTTACAATTTATGCGAAAAGTTAAATAAAAGAAAAAAGAGTGGGGAATTGAATTGAATGCATAGAAAATATAAGCAGATCAAGGGATTATCGTCTCTGGTATTTCAAACCTTCAGGAAGAGAGTGTATTACTGCCTCAAAGGCAGTCATCGCCCTTGTGCCTGTTGAATTGCAAGTGCCAATGGGTGGTGGTTACTTACTATCAGGTGACCCGTCTGATTACGTCGGGGTACCAGGGCTTTCCTTTCTAGGGTATACCTGGTTCCCCGGCTACTGGTACCTGTAGACGGCGTGCTGTTTTTGGTCGGTTCGAGTCCGACATAACCACCCCACTGGTGGGTGGTATGCCAAGGGTTACGCACAGGAAAAAAAATATCCCTTAAAAAAATATGTGTTTATTTATTTTAATTTTATTTTTATTATTTATTTTTTGTTTGTAGATATAACTTTATTTAGTATAGAAGTTAGTTCGTTACCTATTCGACTGTCAACGAATATTTACGGTTCGATTTCCATATGGTGCAATTATTTTTATATTCTGGGTGCCGGGATTTCTTTTTGTAAATAGTTCGCTAGAGTTTGAAAAAAAAAAACTAACCCCCGTTAGATCTAAATTAACCGATAATTGTGATATAGATGGCGCCACACTGGCTACAAACAATTGTACCTGGACGGTTCCAGATCTCCGTCCCCACGCCGCTCCAGGTCCCCAGGCCTTAGGAGGTCCAGGTGAGACTACCACCATATTCCTTTTTTTGATGAAAGGTGGGGATCTCTGTCAAGTCAAAACAGTATCTTTTTATACGACAGCCCATAAAAGTAGTGTAATGGTATAAAAATTCAAGAGTTTGTTTTTTTCATGCTACCTTCTAAATGTCTTATAATATTTAGATGCATGGGGGTATTGATAGAATCCTTGCATCATGCTGAGCGAAAATAAAGATGACTGCATTTTGAAATTTTAAAAATTGTTCTTGATTTTTTTACAGTATTACTATTATTTCTTTTTTTTATTTCTTTTATAGTTATTTAAAAGTAATCGTTAAACGGTAGTTTAGCTACATTTTTGTATGAAATAACAATTTTCAACGCATTTGGAGATTTTTATCAATTAATTTTGATAATAAAACTACCAAATTAGTGAAAAAGAGCGTATTGATGTTTATTTATCAAAATAACCACAAATAACAATACATTATTAGCTTAATGCATCATCAACAGCCTTTAATAGCCTCCAGCTTAATGCATAGGATGTAATATAATATAATTTAATAAAGATTTTATGTACACAATTTGCACACAAAGATAAGAGGTCCATGTGATCAGAACTGTGTTACACCACTGACTACACGTAGTGCCAATGCACTTGGAGCATTTGGATTGGTCCAATTGTGAATCCACACCATCCAGAGACCTACACAAACACAATTAGTTTCATCAAAATTAGTCCAGCGGTTAAGATGTAGTTTAGTGACATATCCATGATCCATTCATTACAATTAATTACTACATGAAAACAAGAGTGTTGTGGGTCTTTGGCATAATTTTGGTGTAATTTAATCTGTCATTTTGACGTTACTAAAACAATACTGATGTGACTTGACAGCGTACCCTTTGCCGTTGCTGGAACGGTCGTGCCATTGGCCAATCGGCATGTACTACTGGCCCCTCCAATCACACGCCGGAGCATCCCAGTACGTGATCCCGGTCTCTTCCCGGGAGTTGCGCCATCCCTAACCATAGCTCTTACTCACCTTATCCGTTTTCTTAATTTATAGTATAGATGACAAATAAGGACTGCACGGATGGCGTAGTGGTTTAAGCGGTCGCCACGCCGCTTCCTACTACGCCGAGTGTTGTGGGTTCAAACCCCACATGGGGACGACACTTTGTGTGATCCACAAATTGTTGTTCTGAGTCTGGGTGTTCTTTGTGTCCGTTTCATGTATGTTTGTAAAGTCCCCCGCGACACAGGATTTATTCCTAATGCGGGAGTTGTCTTTTATAACAAAAAAAAAAAAAAAAAGCAGACGAGGCACTTGATAGTAAGTGACTATAGAGGAACGGGTGTCATGTCCCTCCAACACAAAGGAAAGGAACCTCCGAAAAGGCGAGGTGATCATGCCTGGCGAGCCCAACGGTTGATGTTGGGAACTTTTGGATACAGGATTAGCAGTTGCTCCGTAGTTCAGTGTGTCTTCGATAGATGGCGCTGTAGTATGTTTCTTAGTTTCACCGTATGTGGAAGTCGCCACAATGACTACCGCCATCCAGTGAAATACCTACAACTAAAGTCACAAGTGTCTTGCAAAACTTTGAGTCAGCCACACAAGAAATAGGGAGGAGGGTTTGGGTTTCACTGACCTCATTCACTTTGTGAAAAGCAAGGAAAGAATTGCTTCATTAATTTCTGCGAGGATCATTCCGGTCGAGCCCATTTGTGCCGAAACATGCCTCTCCAAAGGTTGTAATGATTTATGAGCTAAGCTGGTCGGTCTCACCTTGGGTTTTACTCGCTCACAATGGGCCTTATAAGGAGGCTCAAAGTCACCGAAAGAGCAATGGAGAGGGCGATGCTCGGAGTTTCTCTGCGTGATCTGACGAATGGTGAATGGTGGTTGACGACCTGGTTAAGATTGCGGGAAGCCGTTGGATGCGAGCAGCACAGGACCGGTTGCTGTGGAGAGCTTTGGGGAGGCCTGTGTCCAGCAGTAGACGTCTTTCGGCTCAGACGAGGGTTTTGTTAAACAATCATGTGTACAAATCGAATCAGCAACAGCCATAATTCCAGCAAAAGCAGGCCTGAGAAGTGTTAAAGGAAGGAGGGGGAGTGTTGAGGCCTAGTGTCCTGGAACCTTCCTGATACCCGAATCCCTTGCTGTAAACACTTGTAACAAAAACGATTTTGGGTGGTTCTATTTACAGCAAGTTCCACTGCACCCTCAGTCGTGGTAAGGTGATAGTTTTGGTTCGTTATAGCAAGAGTATCTAAAATATCGCAAAAGATGACATACCTTCGAACAACGCAGCTCTTAAAACTTGAAGTTTTTTGAAACTGTTTATGGATCAAAAGAATTTTGATCCAGGTTGGATTTCGAATCCTCATCACGGTCAGGCGTGGTGCCGTTAAGTCTACCATAAACCATTCATTTGTTAGGCAAATAGGTTTGAAATTAGATTAGTTAACATATTTATAGCCAATATCATATTATTAGTTGTGTGTCAGAAGTCGGAAATATTATCCATCTTATCTTATTATAAAGCTTTTTAAAGTATTTGTTTGTTTGCATGAACGCGTTAGGCTCAGGAACTACTGAATCGGATAAAAAAAAAGATTTTTTAGAGTGGTATAGCACATTTATCGAGGCAGACTATAGGCTATATAACATCACGCTAAGGCCAATAGGAGCCGAGCATTAATTTAAAAAAAACGGGGATATTTAATTGCTTTCGGCTAGTTTTAATAAAATACAATGTATTTCATTAATCATCATCATCAACAGCCTTTACTAGTCCACTGCTGGACATAGGCCTCTCCTCAGAAAGGAATGTATTTATTGACATTAATTACCACAATTAATTTATTCGCAATTAACAACTAACAACAGTTGAGACTGCGTCTGCATCAGACCGCAACTAGAACGTCCACATATAGAATCCGGGTATTTTTAGCGTGGAGTTCTCTCCAAGAAAGTTGCAGAAGCTGCTTGATTTTAAGATATCTTAAACACATCGGACTTGACACACGTATCTAGACATACTTCTAGAAAATGCTGTGTTCGATTTTTTTCTGAACCGCTACTATAAAAGATAGCGGTCATAACTGGTTTCGACCGTAGTAACATTATACTGCCACTCGCTACATCATACATATACTTACAGGCTAATTTAGTTTCGGACGGGTTAATCTTCATCATCTTCACCAAATCTGCCCATGAAATTACCTTTTTGTCCATGCAAAGGTTGCCTGTGATATTGCTTTTTAGCGATGGTCATTAACTTGGAATAATATTGTATGTATAATATCCTGAATTGGTGTACAATAAAGATTATTCTATTCTATCTTACCTAAACACCCGGGACAAATATTTGTGTGATAAGCACTATCGTTTGTTCTGTGTTTGGGTGCAATTTATCTATAACATGTATGTATTTAGAAATACATAAGTAAGTTTATCAGCAGTCTGGTTACCATAGCTAAGGCTGTGTCTAGTTTCAGACCAGACGACCCACTTGACTGCAAGGCGGGTAACATTTAAATGTTGTAAAACTTTGAATAGAAATGGTTTGAAGATATTTTTCCTAAACTCAATAAAAGCACTGTCTACGTAAAACGGAACGACACAAAAGTGTGTCAAGTTGGTGACAGCTGACTGAAAACTTTGCTTTGCAATAGAAAAGAGCGTGTAATACAAATTAGAATGTTTTTCCACTCTGCTAATAGTTGAAATAGAAACAAGCTACTTTTTCAGCAGTTGCATATGATGTGTGACATGTGACGTTTTACCTATCATCTGACGGACAACACTCTTTGGTCAAATCAAATACGGCTTCCGGTTACACATTTCCGTCCCTTTATCACGGCCACAGATTTCGTGATTTATTATTGTTGAATTTTTATGTATTGTGTATTGAACAATCTGTATTAATTTGTCCGTAGGACTCCACTAGCGTCTCGTCGCTCGCGTTCGGGCGGTCGACGTTCCCGCTCCCCGGTGGGACGACGTTCGCGCTCCCCCTTGGGGCGCCGCACCCGCTCGCCCGTGGGCCGGCGCTCCCCGCGCAAGTCGCGCTCCCGCTCAGCTCGCCGCAGCCCGCGCCGCACTCCACGCAGGAGTCCTATCAGGTAATACAATTTTACCTTTTATTTATAATTAGATTTTAACTTATGATCTTTTAATATAGACTTTAATAAAGAGCAAAGACTAAACCGATATTGGCCATCGTCTGAAAATTTGTTTCAGATATTCGAATGATAAATGATATGTGTGTAAGATATACAATATGTCCGCCAGACGCAGTCCGCTCCGCTCGCCCCGGCGCCGCTCGCCGCGTGCGGCCCCTCTGGCCCCGCCCGTGGCCCGGCGTGAGGCTCGCCGCCCAGTTCCACCCCCCGCGCGGCCTGTTCGTCCCCCCTCGCCGCCGCAGCCCAGGAAGGTACGTACTCACACCCATGGCAACAGCTGGATAAACCTTATTAAATGTAAATCTACCCTACAACAGGTAGTGCTTACTAGTGAGAAACAACGGAAAAACTTCTAACGAAGACAGACCTTAACTATGGAGTAAATACTAATTCTACAACGCGCAATGAAAGTTCTAACAACGGTAACTATATAAAATATATGTTTTTATACATGACTTCTCAACATCACGCCGGATGATGACAGCCACTGGACAAGATCACCTCTCGTGGTGAGAGAATCCTTCCTTAGTGTTGGAAGAGGATATAACTCCCCTTCCTCAACATATTTTAATAATCCAAACAGTATTGTAGTGTTAGTAAGTCATACATATTGATTCCTATATATTGTTACAGTCATCATCAGGTTCTTCCGCCAGTAGCTGCTCTGACGAGTCATGTTCCGTTTGTTCCGCTAAGAACAAGAAGGGACCACCGCCGCCTAAGCCTGTTAAACCTGTGTAAGTATTTATCTATATACCTAATTTTTTAAACAATTAACACCTGTGATAATTAAGTTCGTGTGGTGACGGATTAAGAATATGGAATGTCACCACCTCTATTAATTCCGTGGGTGTCGTAAGAGTCGATTAAGGAAGCAAACTATGCAGGACAACAGAACTACAAAGAGAAGGAAAACTTGAAACAAACCCTATACCAACCTGTCTGGCCAGCGTGGTATAGTAGGCCAAAACCTCCTTTCTATGTCCAGCAGTTGATTATTAAAGGCTGTTGATGAATTAAGTTCCATAAATTCGTCACTAAAAGAAGTGAAATACACTGTTTGAGCCAATTTCAACCGAGTGAGAGATGATCGGAGTGATGCCAGAGCCAAACCAAGACGAGCCGAGCCTGACGCTACTTGTAGTTTCATACCTACCGTGTGGAGGGGATCTGACATGGTTTTGGTCTAATATGGCGCTGTGCCTTATTACCCGGAACATTGTTTTTAAAAAATAGTAGTTTTATTTAAATTAATGATGATACATAAAATTATGTTTGTATGTTATGATTCACATATAAATTAAAACTATATATTGTTTACAGTGGAGCTTTATCTCCGACTCGAGCTCGTGCTGTGCAGCCTACGAGAGAGTTATTAAAAGCTCGAGAGAGTAGCAAGAGAACCCGTGAGGAAAAAGTGAGTATATTATTCTCTTTGAAACAGACATACCTGTATCCCCGAAGAGGGAGAAGAAACCATTAAACCAGCGATACATGATATATCTTCAATAAAAAAAACTTGAATCCTTTATTCTGATGTCAGATGAAGAATATAGAATTGGTGTGATACAGGTGCTGGAGTGGCAACGCTCGCAGCTGTGCGTGGCGCCGCAGATCAAGCGCGAGGGCGAGCGCTCCGAGCGGCCCGAGCGAGGCGAGCGCGCCGAGCGCCCCGCCGCCGCTCGCAACGCTCGCGCCGTGTCGCCCGCCGCCATCGCCGCCGCGCTCAACGACTCCGACTCTGACTCGGAGTCCGACGCCAGCGAGGAGCCGCAGCCGCAGAGGTAATGTCGCTTTCGGCTCGAAAGACCACTTTTAAATGTTTTTGCACTTGAACCAGACCCAGATGTATGTGGCAGATTGATTGCTTAGGTAGGGGATAGAATGGCCGGCCTGATTGCATTAAGATGCGATCGGGCCGCGATTGAGGGGGGAAGTGTTCTCCCCTGGGATAGTCTGATTAGGCATGATGTTAATTCGGGGAGGACCTGAAATAACATGGTCCGGGTCCTCCCCAGAGTAGGACACCTGGGGCCGGCCGTCGGGGTGGTTTTTAGTGGCATCACCACATACTCCTGGCTTTTAAGTCCTTGAGGAACAGGAGATCCGAAGGGTTTTTCCACCCCGTCAACAAAAAAAAAAAAGACCCAGATGTATGTAAAGTGTAATGTGAACTCTACTCGTAGTGCCCGTTTTGTCATGTTAACTTCGTAACAGTAGTATATTAATGAACAAGACTCGCTTTAAATGTGTGCTCTCCCATTTTTTCGTTACCCCAGAAGACAGTATTCTTGAAATACCGATGATGATGTGTGTTACAGACTGACTTTGTCAGAACGCTTCGGCAAGATGGCGCAGTGGTCCTTGGACAGGTCCTCACGGCTCGAGAACATGCGCATCACTCGTCGCGAGACCACGCTGCACGTGCGCATTGAGCGAGACGAGCGGGAGCCCGAACCCGCAGGCGGCCCAGAGCACCCCACCTTCCCGTAAGTTTAATCTGTGGATTATTAAACATCTACATTAAAAAAAATATATATATATATATATAATTAATCTCACTCAACCACAGTGTTTTAATAAGGGCCAATCATCCAAAGCGTTTCGTGCAATTCAAATCCGTGTGTTGACGGATTAAGAATACGGAATGTCACCACCCCTATTCATCCCGTGGGTGTCGAAAAATTCGAATAAGGCAGCAAAGTACTAAAAGAAGGAAAACTTGACAAAACCCTTTACCACCCCCTCTCCTTTTTTAAGTAGAAGCCAATATCCATCTAGTGGACTATTTAAGGCTGTTAATGTGAATCAACAAACGCTAGGTATTTTAAGGATACGTTGGAGACAAACGGACTGGCTCGACCGGAGTGGATACTACAGTCTCTAAGAAAACTGGTGTGATGTCATTCTTTTGTTTCTCTTCACCTAGTGAGTGAGGTTACTGGAGCCCAAACCCTTCCTCCTCCTTAGTTATTTGTGATTGAGTTACGGCTTACCATCAGGTGACCCATGTGCTCTTTTGTCTTCTTATGCCATAAAAAAAACCATGGTAAAATTCAGAGCACAATTCGGCAAGTTCAGAAGGAAAGAACTTTCGCTAATAGGTATGAATATGGAGATGTGTAGCTAAGTGTGTGTACTGTGATGTCAGGGGCGCGGAGGGTGCGGCGGCGGGCAGCTACCCCGCCGAGCTGCTGCTGGCGGCGCCCGCCGGCCTGCCGTCCTGGGACGACGTGCGCGTGCGATACGACTACTACAAGAAGCGCGGCTACTTGCGAGGTAAGCGCCCATCGACATACCACCTTACGAGTTCTTTTTTCTTTTTAAAAAGACCGCATTAGGAATATATATTACTGTGTCGCGGGGGACTTTACAAACGTACATGAAACGGACACAAAGAACACTCAGACTCAGAACAACAATTTGTGGATCACACAGTGTCGTCCCATGTGGGGTTTGAACCCACAACACTCGGCGCAGTAGGAAGTGGCATAGCGACCGCTTAAACCATTCGTGCAGTCAAGCGTGAACGTCAACCCCATTCTGAGAGACTGCTGCACGAATGGCGTAGTGGTTTAGGCAGTCGCCACGCTGCTTACTACTACTACGTTGAGTGTTGTGGGTTTAATACCCACATGGAACGACACTGTGTGATCCATAAATTGTTGTTTTAAGTCTGTGTGTACTTTTTGTCAGTTTCATGTATGTTTGTAAAGTCTCCCGCGACACAGAATATATTCCTAACGCGGGAGTTATTTAAAAAAAAAGTAAAGAAGTAAGAGAAATGAATAATAGATAGTTCCCTCTATCTCTTTCTAGTCAAGTTTCGTGGTTAGCTGTAAAAACACCTAATCTCCCTCCCGCCTGTTCTACCTGATTAAAACCATGCCCACTTTACGATAGCTAATCGCAACTTAGCTAAACGAAGACAGAGGGAACTATCGGGTATACATCTCTCTCGTTAACTGTATCGCTTCCACTTACAGAAAGCTGTACCCCGTGTTCTCTCTAAGCTTATATATCTATGTAAACCCACTATATCTATTTATAGTCATCGTATGTGAAAGAAGTAAGCTGTTATTCAAATTTTATGTTTATGTCAAAGGGAGAAAGACGTAGGTGTGGACGACATAGAGAGACGATCATCGATGGTCAAAAGCTGATGTAGATTAAATTTGAAACGTTTCGTTGAACGTGTAGGTCTAACGCTGGGCGACTACGTGAAGTGGGAGGAGTGGTGGTACAAGTACCAGGAGTGGCTGAAGCACGAGCGCGCCTACGAGCGCTGGGCGGAGGGCGACACGGCGCCGCGCCGCGAGCGTCGCCGCCGGGGGGGGCGCCACCGCCGCAGCTGAGCCCGCGCCGCCCCCGCCGCCGTCCTCAGCGTGGACCTGGCGGGGGCGGCGCGCTAACTTGCAGCGCGCCCCCTGCACTCTCCGCCCCGCATCCCACCACACCCACATCTTTGTTCTGTAATTCAAAAATTTAACTAGTGCTAACGGTTTCCTTCGAAAAATATCTATATTTCCGCGGTAAATGGTGCGAGTGTACAAAGACCGGAGTATAAAGTGCAGTAAAACTGAAACTATAAACGTATAGCGTTAAGGTACATATTGTAGTGATTTAGTGATCATCCGCGCCCGTGGCGCTCGGACGTTGTACGGAAGCGAGTGATGAATAATTGTGTAAAACTGTGTTTGTGCTTTTTGAATATAGATTTATAATCTGACCGATCAGACTCGTAGAAATTATCGTTTCGTACGAAAAATTGGAACCTGATCCGTCAAATAGCTAATCGGATGCGTCACTATTTTCTTAACTTGAATGAACTAATAGTATATAATTGATCCTTGCAGTAGTACGACCTCCTTTAGTACTTTATTGATAATAAATGTTTATTTAAATATAGTTTTTTTTATATATATGAAATGTACAGTAGTGCAATGTTTATAATAAATTTTATTAACTTACTGTGTAAGGAAAGTTGATGATCTGGAGTAAAAATTATTACAGTGGGTTCCATGGGAAAATCTCCATAGAAACTCAGGGATTTTGCAGAATAAAAATAAGCTATCCTACACGTTCATGCGACTGTCCTTACCCGCGCTATTTAATTTGACCAAACAACACGGTCTATTACATTTGACTAACAAGCTATTTTATTTAACCAACTAGCTGGTACCCGTGACTACGTTCGTGTGCATTTGGTAAAGCGCTGCCTTAGTGGGTTTGGTTTCCGGACCGGGTAAAATTTTATAGGGTTTTTCTGAGAGGAAAATAGCTTAAGTTACTCCTTATATGGACTGCTACCTGGTAGTAAAATATTATGAAAATCGGTTTAGCAGTTTAGAAGATAACCCGGAACAGACAGACAGACACTTTTTAAACCACGACGCCTTCAACTTTTGGTCGGAATACTATATAATCATAGAACAGTCAATGTTGGATGTAATACTAATAATAATACTTTACTACGAAAATACCTTTTATAACAGTTGTGAGAACGAAAGTTGACTGGAACTTAAAATTGTGACTGAATTTTTATTACGAGATATCACCTTTAGACAACACTTGAGATTTTAGTTGCATTATGTTAAAACATCATAAGCTAATTATTTTTTTCATTGTTTTCACCATCATGTTGTAAAAAAGGAACACGGTTATTTACTTGAAATAGAATTTCCATAAAACTAGGAATTGACGATTGTTCTGTAACCTATCAAAATGTAATTCTTATGCAATAATGTTAATCATTTATGTAGTTATAATAAAATATTTATTATTTAGGCATATGTTTATTATATTAAATAATTAAAATTTAATTAGATAGAATATAGTTATGTACAAGGTACTGGTCCAGGTACCATGTAAAATGGAACATTAGGAGGTCGCTCTTGGATCGCCCCCTTAGAGTAAAATTAAATATTTAAAATGAATTGTAACTAACTATGATATATACTAGATAATCGAGCACAAGTAACAGTCAACCCTATTACATCTGAGGACCTACAGAGGGCCAAGTGCAAGCGCGAGAGTACCGCCTTGCGATATTCAAAACGACTTACTTATAGGTACTAATGTTATACTTCTAAAGTGTTAATTACATACTTGCCCGTGTAGTGACGGATTAAGAATACGGAATGTCACTACCCCAATTCATCCCGTGGGTGTCGTAAGAGCCGACTAAGGGCGCAAAACAACGCAGGACACCAGCACTGCAAAGAGAAGGAAAACTTGACACAAACCCTATACCAACCCGTCTGGCCAAGCGTGGTATGTAGGCCAAAACCTCCTTTCTAATGAGAGGTCTATGTCCAGCAGTGGACTATTAAAGGCTGTTGATACAATAATCACATACTTTTTTCTGTACGAGTATAAGTATTTTCACAGCAACTCTCTCGGTGACCGTTCGGTCCGCATAGAAATCTCCACCAATCACAACGCTAAACGCGCTCGCCTTCCAAAGCGAGTAAATAAGTAATAAACTCACATGTGGGCCTCTGTAAGTTTAATTCACATTAATTCGATCGTCACGGTAACCATAGGCGTAGCCAGGGTGGGCCACTTGCCCCACCTTGGCTCTGACCTGTAGGTACCTAAGCAAACCTAAAAAATACTACAATACTCGGTCGACACGTCGTGTATGAAAAAATAAACCGGGCTACGACCGCGGGTGTAGTTTGCTAGTTACATATTATTTTAGACTTCTGCCCCACCCTGAGCCCATGGCTAGCTACGCCCATGACGGTGATCGCATTCGTTGTTGTGATTGGCCTACACTGAAATCTCCAATGTAAAATAAACGCACACCAGACTGTCTGAATGAGAATTACATGTGATAAGTTGTTATTTTTCACCGAGTGAGTGTGGGTACTGCAGGCTGCATTAACATGCCCATGGAACCAGAGAGAGAAGAGTTTTTAATGTTATGGTTTATTTATGAGTCGATCTGCCGTCATTTATCTAAAAAGTTAACCCACAAGTTGTTTTCAAGTTAAAAAAAATTATGGCGGACACATAACCCTTTGAAGGGTGATCTTCATTTAGAGACAAGTACAAATTATATATAGATACTGGCCTTTGCCCGTGGCTCCGCTCACGTGTATGTTATGTATGTATGTAGATTAGTTTTTATCTCAGAAATCATCCTTTATGAAGGTGAAAGGTTGTATGGGGAATCAATAACCCCTGCACCAATTTAAATGAAATTTGGAATAGAGATAGTTTGATTCTTGAAAAAAGGCTAGACTTTATCGTCATATCACGGGTGGAGCCGCGAGAAAAAGCTAGTAGATATATAATATATATAAATGCTTATCCTTAAAAATGTTTAAATTATTTACTTATCATCTTCCTGCCAGTTTTCCAAATCAATTTGAGGTCAGTACAATGAATTTTTTCTTCCTTCTTGGTCACTTGACATCCTCTCTTTCATGCACTCCCATATTTCATTTCGAAATGGTTTTGGCTATTTAATTTATGGCTGACTGTTTGCCATAAGAGACAGGGCCACAACAAAAAGAACCTGAACAAACTAATTCATTATATTTTTATTTAATTATTGACATCAGTCTAAACTTATTAGGTATTGTTGTAGCTAAGTAAAGGTTGCCTTTTAAGCGTAAATAAAATGTGTACTTTCTTAATTCAATTGTATCTGTAATTGCTCCCATAACATGAACAAATGGACAATTTGTATTCACTAAAATATATTTAGTACAAAGAACTATAAGTAAAGTGTCTTAAATGAGAAAAAATGCCCATAGATCTAGTGATTAATGGTGTTGTTTGCTGAGCTAAAGGTTGTGGGTTCAATCCCCATTCAAGACAAGTAATTATGCTATGAGAATGAGCATTTATTGTATCTATAATACATATTTAGTAAAATATAGTCAGCCTTTTTCGTAAACTAAGTTGGGGTCTGCTGTCAGACCTCTCCACAACTTAAATACTAGGCGATATAGAAGTTCTGAGTCTTACTGTTTCGGGCTCCCTAGCCGTAAATATTGCCACAGATATTCGTATGGGAACCGGAAGTGGCGGCTTAACGCGTCCTCCGAGGCACTCCTAAGTATGTATATATAGAATACAGATTCCGCCAGATAACTGGCACATGGGGTTTGCTCAACCCCTCTGTTATGCCACAGCAGGTTGCCTGTTAATTGTGCTAGAATCATAAACTGTATTTACTAATTATGTCTATGCCTACTTATTATACGTATATGTATTTACGAATAAGAGTTTTATTTTGACATCTACCCTCACATAAATAACTTGACTGGCCCATTGGTCTAGAGTTCTAAACGTTTGTGATCCTGACGGCTAAGCTAAAAGGTCGTGGGTTCGATTCCCATCCTGCACAAATAATTTGTGTAATTAGCATGGTCATTCGTTTTGTGTCTGGATGTAATTTATCTATAACATTTAAGTATGTTTACTTTTCAGCAGTCTGGCTCTGCCTAGTTTGGGAGTAGACTGGTGTGCGTTACCCCATCAAAATATTGTCGAAAATGTTCATTTAAATGTTATAGATAACTAGTTGGCCAGCTTCTGTAATTGTTTCGCATATTTTTAAATTTGTTTCACTTACAGTTTTTAAGTTACCTATTTCACAAAATCATTTCCTGCTGGGGTACCGTTACCGTTACATTTGCAGATCATACAAACACTTTGTCCGACCCGGGAATCGAATCCGAGACCTCAGCACGTCAGTCAAAGCTATGATTTTGGTCTGTACTTACATAAGTCACTTCTGTTACCGCTTCTACGACCAGGGGTAATTAATGCTCACTTCCAACTCTTCTTAGAAAAACTCCAATGTTGTTGGAAACAGTGCTTTCTTTATTGAGCGTTGATATAAAACGGTAAATGGTTTGGTTAGTTGTTCAGCGCAGTTAACTGCACGGATGGCGTAGTGGTTTAAGCGGTTGCGAAGCCGCTTCCTACTGCGCCGAGTGTTGTGAGTTCAAACCCCACATGGGACGACACTGTGTGATCCACAAATTGTTGTTCTGAGTCTAGGTGTTCTTTGTGTCCGTTTCATGTATGTTTGTGAGGTCCCCAGCGACACAGGATATATTCCTAATGCGGGTTCTTTTTTTAAAAAAACTATTTTTTTTAAACGAGTTTTTCTAAAAATGCCCTTGTAATGAAAAATACATTCTTACTAATATTATAAAAGTGAAAGTAACTCTGTCTAAATGTTACGCTTTCATGGCAAAACCGCAGAACCGATTTTAATGAAATATGGCATGGAGATACTTTGTTGAAGGACATAGGCTTTTTACTGCGATAACCAACGTACACGCGAGCGGCACCGCAGGCAAAAGCTGGTAATAATTAAAAAACTCAGTTAAAAGTAAACCTAGCATACTTACTTTTAGGTTCAAAGTTAGACATCAAGTCCGCGGTTTAACGTATACCTATATTTATTAATTACGAGCTTAAATGTATGCCTATGTTACTCGCTGATAATGTAGCTTCCGTATTCCGTGTGGTGACGGACTAAGAATACGGAGTGTCACCATCCCCACCCCTATTCATCCCGTGGGTGTCGTAAGAGCCAACTAAGGGAGCAAACTACGCAGGACAACAGCACTGCAGAGAGAAGGAAAACTTGACATAAACCCTTTACCATCCCGTCAGGCCAGCGTGGTATAGTAAGCCAAAACCTCCTTTCTAAGGAGAGGCCTATGTCCAGCAGTGGACTATTAAAGGCTGTTGATGATGATGATGAATGTACCTTCCCATTGGTGATAGAATTTTTAGTGGTTGTGGGTAGTTGTTTAAGCGTGAAAGCTTAAAAAACAAAATCACTTTCACGTTTATAATATAGATATGGGTTCAACTCGTTCAATACTACGAGTATAGGTGAAACAAAAGGAATAAAGAATTGAAAGAAATAGTTTGCCTTTACAGTCTGGCACACCCTAACGCACACTCTTTACAATATATCACGATAACCCATAAACGGGACGGAAACTGAAATGCTTACAAATAAAACTAGAACATCTCGTTACAATAAATCATTGTCTTTCTTATATTTTGAAGAAATAAAACGAATAACATATCTCGCTCCCGACTTTCATTTCGTCCTCAAACATGTTTCTTGTGTGTGTGTGTCCGCATGTGTTTCCCTAAATTACCCTTATCTGAGAAAAAATTCTTACATACATCACACTGAAATGGTTTCTCACCAGTGTGTGTACGCATGTGATTACTTACTTTATGCTTGTCTGAGAATTGTTTTTTACATATACTACAATGAAACGGTTTCTCACCGGTGTGTATACGCATATGGCGCCTGCAAACATCTGATCGTGAGAATTGTTTCTCACATATATTACAATGATATGGTTTCCGACCCGTGTGTATACGCATATGAACTTTTAAGTATTCAGCCTGTGCATAACGTTTCTTACATACTTTACACCTATATGGTTTTTCACCAGTGTGTGTACGCATATGATAAACCAAACCAGAGCTCTTTGCGAAATATTTACCGCATATATTACACTGAAATGTTTTTTTACCAGTGTCTGTACGTAAGTGACGTCTTAAAATATTATTTCCTGAGAATTGTTTCTTGCATTTATTATACTTGATTGGTTTCTCGCCCGTGTGTTTTTTACGCATATGATGATTTAAATAACCCTTTGATGAGAAATATTTTTTACACACAGTACACTGACGTGGTTTCTGAGCGGTGTGTGTGTGAGTACTTGTACTGTTCCCTCGTGAGATATCTTTCTTCCACACATCAGAGCTTAGGCAAATGTGTCTCTCTAACTCACACTTAGAACTGTAACATTGCTGACACGTGTCGCACGTATATTGTACACGTTCGCTGCGCGGTACACTTGTAGGTCTCTCTTTATTGTCATCGGCGAGAGTGAATGTCACTTCATTTGTGCTTTTTGCTGCCATTCTGTCGACAGCAGTGGCTTTATTAACTTCTTGTAATGTGTCATGTATGAGTTCATGGTCTTTTAAGTTTCTAGAGGTTAAATCTTCTGGATTCCTCAGTACAGTTTTTTTAAATCCCTTCAAAGTTACATCACCTGAATAAAAGATGAAAATAGTATTTAGTTTCTTTCGAAGCTTATAAGCTCAGTAATCACAACATCAATTATAAGTACAAAATAAAAACAGAATAGACATAAGTATTTTCTAAAGTTATTACCGACTTTCTAAAAGAAGGAGGTACTTCAAACAGACCGGAAGGTATCTAAAGGGTTTTCCAACAAGAGGTGTTATTTTGAATCACCCGGTATTTCGGTAGCTGTCACTTTTGAAGCTTTTATTTTTTGACATTTGACAAGTAGAAACTACGCCATTACTAAAAATGGAACGATACACAATTCAACAACGCATTGAAATTATTAAAATTCACTACAAAAATGGTGAAAATCTTGCAGTCACAGTTCGCAAAACTAAAGCATTTTTGGTCGTCGTGAAGCACCTTTCCGGACCGCAATACAGAAATTGGTGGAAAAATTCGAGCTGTTGGGACAAGTTATTGATGTGAAGAATAAAACCCGTGCACGTCGCTCAAGAACAACTGAGAATATTGCTGCTGTAGCCCAAAGTGTTGAAGAAAACGCAGGTTTGTCCATTCCTCGTCGTTCTTTGGAATTGGGCATTCCACAAACGTCATTATTACACCGTATTTTGCATAAAGACTTGGGTCTTAAGGCTTATAAAGTTCAGTTAACACAAGAGCTCAAGCCGGCCGATCATCAACAACGTCGTGTCTTTGCTGATTGGGTACTTGAAATGCATGAAAATGATCCGGAATTCCATCGAAAAATCATCTTGACTGATGAGGCCCATTTCCACCTAGGAGGCTACGTCAACAAGCAAAATTGTCGCATCTGGGGCTCGGAAAACCCAAGAGTTATTGTTGAGAAGCCTCTCCATCCTCAACGTGTGACTGTTTGGTGCGGTTTATGGTCCGGCGGGGTCATTGGACCTTACTTTTTCGAAAATGAGGTTGGATCAACACTTACGGTGAATGGATTGCGCTATCGAGATATGATTAATGATTTTTTATGGCCGGAGTTGGATGGTATTGATCTGGACAACGTTTACTTTCAACAAGAAGGCGCTCCGTGCCACACAAGCAACGAAACCATTGCTCTTTTACGGGAAAAGTTTCCTGACCGTGTTATCTCTCGAAGAGGTGATCACAATTGGCCATCGAGATCTTGTGATTTAACACCTTGCGACTTCTTTCTTTGGGGCCTCGTGAAAGATGAGGTCTACGCCAACAGCCCAGCGTCGATTCAAGACCTCAAAGATGGAATTCGTGAGGCTATCGAGGACATAGGGCAGCCACTTTGCGATTTGGTTATGCAAAATTTCATTAAAAGGATATGGTCCTGTAAGCGTGGTCGTGGTAGCCATTTGGCTGATGTTATCTTCCATTATTAACGGCATACCTTCCTCTTTATTATAAAATAAACAGCCGATTATTTATCTTAAAAAATTGCATTTTTCTTTGAATACTAAAATAACACCTCTTATTGGAAAACCCTTTATTACCTTTATAATGATAGCTATTGTATTGAGTGTCACACTTATTTTAGTCTTTTTACAATAAGATTTCAAACCTTCAAGGAAAGAGCGTACTCCTTCCTAAAAGGCCGGCAACGCGTTTGTGACGTCTGCCCCCTTTAACATAAAAAAAAGGTTTGTGATCATTTGTCACTTTGTACCAGGTACCCGCTGTTCGTGATATTAGGGTGAAATATTTTTAAATAGTAATTATTTTTGGTATGAATTAAAAATTATGGTATGAAGTCCGTGTGGTGACGGATTAAGAATACAGTGTCACCACCCCTATTCATCCCGTGGGTATCGTAAGAGCCGACTAAGGGAGAAAACTACGCAGAACAACAGCACTGCAGAGAGAAGGAAAACTTGATACAAACCCTATACCAACCCGTCTGGCCAGCGTGGTATAGTAGACCAAAGCCTCCTTCCTCCTTTCTAAGGAGAGGCTTATGTCCAGCAGTGGACTATTAAAGGCTGTTGATGATTGATGATGAATTAAACAGTCCCCTGCGACACAGGGACCACTCCTCATTGGGGTCTTCTGCAAGGACCAACAAATACACAGTATACATACTTGTCCAGTCTCCAGACTGTTCGTTCTTTACATTAATAAGAGGCTCATCGTCTGAGTCTGCAGATTGTATGATGTCAGAGACGCTGTTCTCTTCTAGAGCATCCTCGTCGATATCTATGAACAAGTGCAATTAGATTTGTAATGTACGAAGACGCGGACAGAGGGAGTGAAGATGTGTTCGCGGATATCTTAAGTAAAAGTTCTGTATACGTATCAGATCGACAGATGACGGTTGCTACGTTCAAAATCGTAGTTCATCTGGTATTTGCTGATGTGTGCTACTGTTTATTTGCTGATGTGTGCTACTGTTTATTTGCTGATGTGTGCTACTGTTTATTTGCTGATGTGTGCTACTGTTTATTTGCTGATGTGTGCTACTGTTTATTTGCTGATGTGTGCTACTGTTTATTTGCTGATGTGTGCTACTGTTTATTTGCTGATGTGTGCTACTGTTTATTTGCTGATGTGTGCTACTGTTTATTTGCTGATGTGTGCTACTGTTTATTTGCTGATGTGTGCTACTGTTCATTTGCTGATGTGTGCTACTGTTTATTTGCTGATGTGTGCTACTGTTTATTTGCTGATGTGTGCTACTGTTTATTTGCTGATGTGTGCTACTGTTTATTTGCTGATGTGTGCTACTGTTTATTTGCTGATGTGTGCTACTGTTTATTTGCTGATGTGACTAAACCGAATAGTTGGGTACAATGAGTGGTCACAGTTGATCTTACGAAGATTGAAAATTAACCAAATGCAGTTATTGCAATAACTGCATTTGGTTAATTTTCAAAGCAGACCTGCATTTAGGTCGAGATAACATCACCATAATCGATAATAGGGAACATTACGGCCGTACAACTCCCAATGACTCGGTGCTGGTACGAGTACTTGTCCCAAGTCTGGGTTTTGTCTATTTATAGGAGAAATACAGAGTATACTTACTTGACTGTTCTTTCTTCACAACGATTAGAGGATCATCGTCTGAGTCTGCAGATTGTATGTTGTTTTCTAGATCATTCTCATCAATATCTGTAAACATCATTGAATCCTAAGCGGGAGTGGGTTTGTATTGTAAATAAAGAAGCACCAAAAGAAATTTTAGTTAAATATAAAATATTACCTTCAGGATCATTTTGTTCGAATTTCACATCAATGGTCAGAGCCTCCACACCAACATCAACTGTATTTATCTCCAGTGCATGACCGATACTCAAGTTTGATACATTTTGCACGGTGAGTCTCTTCTTATTGTTTACTTCTTGCAATTTCACAGGTTTCAACTGTTGGCAAGTTAAGTTATTGACATGTAACTAACACAGCCTGGCAAAAAAGATTACATGCAGATAAACAAACCATAAGGATGGTTTACGACGCCATGGTGGAATCTATTTTGAGCTTTTGTATTACCACTTGGGGAGGTGTGTGTGACAGCAATTTATTTGAACCTGATATCACTAAAAGTTAAATAGGCAAACATTAGATTTATTTTATTTTTACCTGTTACTAAAATACTAAAGATACTATTCTATCAGATAGAATTGTAGGTTCTCTTTGTTTGATCTATTCAAAAACAGAACCTAGAAGTAGCTGTAATCTATGAACATAAAGACTATACACACATACACACAAACACACTCTCACACACACACACACACACACACACACACACACACACACACACACACTCATACTTTAATACTAGTTTTTTTAAATATAAATAGAATTTAATGTTTGGAAACTATAACCAACCTCGTTACAGCTCAGCATTTGTGTTAACAGCTCCTCACTTTGGAAACAGCTCTTTCTCAACTCATAGCAGTTCTTGAGCCTTGCGCAACATATGTAGCAAGCCAGTACAGGCCTGCCATCTGTAGTTTCCAACTGTAAATATAGTTTTGAAGTGGTATTTTATAAACAGAAGTAACTTTCTTTCCTAAAACAATCACAATAGAGTAGCACCTACACTTAAGGTGAATAACTTTTGAATTAAAACCCACTTAACGAACAAACTAAGTCTAAATGGCAAATCAAAATTCTTAAAACAAGCCTATAGTTAAAAAATGCCCACCAGTGGACTGCAATAGGCTGGTGATGATGTTGATGATGATATAGTTAATTTAAACATTCTGAAATATCAGGATCCCATTTATCTTGGAGTATAATATAAGCTTTCCCCTATTCATCCCGTGGGTATCGTAAAAGCCGACTAAGGGAACAAACTATGTAGAATAACAGCACTGCAAAGAAAAGAAAAACCGTATACCAACCCGTCTGGCAAGCGTGTCCATTCTAAAGAGAGGCCTATATCCAGCAGTGGACCGATTAAGGCTGTTGATGATGATAATATAAGCAGATAGTAACAGTGACACATGCAGGAGAGAGCCGTGGACGAGGGCTGATAATCACCACCAGTTGTTGCCGATTAGTTAAACTCTTGCAAATACACACATAATTAGATGTGTTGTTCACAAAGTGTGAAATATATAGGAAATTTGTATGATATCATTTAAAAAAAATCTGTACCATTTACGCACCTATATATTAGGTCTTTACCTATGAAATTGCCGTTTTGTATGCAATAAGTGAAAGTACTTAATTTTTCAAACTTTTTTATTTCTGTTATTCGAAGTAATCACCCATGCAGACCAGACCTTGCACCTACCGACTTTTACTTTTTCCAAAATTTAGACATCTTTTTAGTGGGTAAAAAATTCAATTCCCGAGAGGCAGTACAAAATGCCTTTGAAGAGTTTGTTGCTTCCCGTCCAGCTGATTTTTACAAGAAGGGCATCAATAAACTGCCAATGCGTTGGCAAAGATGCGTCGATTACGACTAACCACTAGACCAACAGGCCCGTCTCATAGATGTAAGATAGATGGATCGAAGTTGTTCGCACATTGTAGTAAGCGAAAAACATTACGCAGAAACGGAGATATTAATGTTGATTTTGCAATTACTTACCGGCATTAAAACCAAAGACTCGTACATTTCTTGTAGATGAGTTTCAACAATCGAATGCAGTCGAATGTCTCCTTCTAAACAAACTCTGCACATCGAAAGCCTTTCCATTTTTATTTTATTCTATTATTATATGGCAAGTCCACGGTTTTTAGTAGAGACCACTGCTTTAAACAACCTTCAAGTAATTTCGCGCACTATTGTTTCCTGGACCCAGAACCCCAGAATACTATACTCACAGATTCTAATGTGGCAAAAATACACCTCGAGTAGATGTACCTCTAACTAATGACATTGTTTTAATACTTTTAATCAACATACTATATAGGTATAATAATTCGATTCCACATTTGACATTAGCTACTGTCATTTTGTGAAATAATGATACCACATATAATAGTGTAGTGATGCACACAAAAATCGATAAACAATCGCGATTTATGTTTATATAATCATAATATTAGTGTGCCAATTAAATAATACCTACACTTCAACTTGACATTAATGACACTGACGTCTATGTTGATTAGTTGTATGGCGTTATACGCAACCGCAACAAAAAGTCTGGACCGGGGGGGGGGGGGGGTCTTCACAATGCACACATTCTCGGCCTTTTATACAAAAACAATTTGCTGTCACTACAACACACTGTTAACAATTTCACACACACATATACACATTCTCTGTAATAACAGTGTAATGAAGTGACGCACTACATTGACATGTTGCCAAACAACCGTGGCTGTAACAACTATCGATAAATTTGAGAAGTCGGTTAGGGAAATCAGGTTTGAAAAGTGATAGAAAGGTAGACATTAACATAGATAGGACTTTATTTATTAATACAACAATCATCATTGAAATTACGAATAGTTTTATCTATCACTGGTTTCTAAACTGGATTAATTTTGTATAAATATGTCGAATACAATTCTGTTAATTAGCGTTTTTCATGAAGAATTTGTCATCTTTCTATTGTTACGTCTAGATGTACATAATGATACTACTTCGTAGAAAAAAGAAAAACAACTAACAATTCCTTTTAAAAGAAAATTAATTTATTTTTTTATATGTGGGTAGAATTAGGTGGGTTCGTTACCCAAGCCCCTATCTGCACTGACGCGCGGAATCTTACGCTTCTCTGGGTAGTCCTTAGCGATCAGCCAACAAGCTTCTAGTGATGTGGTACGACCAATAATCCGTTGACCCCGTGGCGTTGGCCGGAACTAGGATAGGCCGAAATCAGCCGATGATAATCACCAAGGGTGAACTTAAAACCCTGAAATCAGATGTGGGTAGAACATTAACACTCTGTCCAAATTGCAACGTGACTGCAGCATAAGGGTACACAATGGTAAGCGATTGATTTTCTCACATTTAGGTAGAAAATAGATTACTAAGGTGCGGCAGTCACGGTTTAAAGCAAGCGGAAGGACTAAGAGAAATTAAAAATAAGGAAAAAACATAATAATAACAAATAAAAGGCAAAAACACATTACTAAGTTATTAAGCATGTATGTAGGTAGGCACAGCAACTTAATGCAGGTGATGGTGCGCTTTTATTCATGTGTGGAAACAATAACCAAGCACTAATGATACATAGGTTTTAGATGGTAACTACCTACGGCTAATTACATTTTGAATGATAGCGGTAACTATTACATATGTGGTATGATAAAGGTAATAAAAGCACAACTTACCCAGACAAGGTGTTTATAATATTCACTAGTGTTTTAGAACTCTAACGTAGGTTTTATATTTACAATTTTTAGTTAATACGGTAGCAAGAAAATAATAACGGAATAATAAAATGAACGGAATTTGAATCCGGCTGTCAATTTCAATTTCAATTTCAATTTATTGCATTCCATAATGTACATTCAGGTGGTAGGCTTAAAAGTAGATAACAATTATGGACCCTGTCGGGCACAGCACTATCAGGAGAGAGGAGGAGCTGCCTAATTATGCTAGTTTGAAGAGCTTGATTTCAATATCAACATTTTCTGCTTTAAACGAGATAAACTAATTAAACCAAATAGTATATTTAACTTGCATGTTCATAAAAGGATGTAGTTGTTGATAATTTAATAAATTTATTAATGAACAATGTCAGTACAAAATTATTTTACCATTCATTGTATATCAATTTATTGCATAGTCATTCATTATATATTAATATTTATTAAATGTAAAAAGTCCGTGTGGTGACGGATTAAGAATACAAATTGTCACCACCCCAATTCATCCCGTGGGTGTCGTAAGAGCCGACTAAGGGAGCAAACTAAGCAGGACAACAGCACTGCAAAGAGAAGGAAATCTTGAAACAAACCCTATGCCAACCCGTCTGGCCAGCGTGGTATAGTAGGCCAAAACCTCCTTTCTAAGGAGAGGCCTATGTCCAGCAGTGGACTAGTATAGGCTGTTGATGTTGATGAAATTTATTAGATTTTATGTCTATACTGGCATGTGTTTATAATGATTAATTTTAGTTATTTAAAGTTTATAATTTATCTTCTAAGTATTCCTTGACACTGTAGTAGCATTTATTTATCAGGAGTTTTTTTAATTTGTTAACAAACGTATTGTATTTATTTTCGTTTTTGATTTCGTTTGGTAGCCTATTATATACTTTTACTGACATGACCAATGGTCCAGAGGAGTGAATTGCTAATCTTGAAGTAGGAAGATTTAATCTACTTTTGTGTCTTAGGGTCATTTTGGATTGGATATCTTCGCGCTTGGTGTAGTGTTCCGGATATTTACGAACAAGTTTACATAATTCCAAGATGTAGATGCATGGTAATGTTAGGATTTTGAGTTCTTGAAAGTGTGGTTTACATGTGTCAGTATTTTTTATATTGACCAAGACTCTAATCAATGCCTTTTGCTTAGTAAAAACAGCGGGGACGTCCGTACTATTGCCCCACAAAATTACGCCATAGTTGAGCCAAGAATGTGCGTAGGCGTAATAAGTGACAAGTGCAGTAGGTAGATCTGTGACTTTTTTGACTTCGCGTACGACTCGACTTCTGTCGAGTACGTATTTCCGACAAGCTCACAGCAAGACAACGATGCGTAGAATGTTTCTCGTCGCGCGGACAGAGCTCGCGGACTCTCTTCACTTACACCGTTCCCCCCGCCCGGCGCACATGCCCCGCCATCGCGAGTGCGGCGGCCGGTTTTACTATATTGAAGTAATGGAGCCACTGACAGCTTGTTTGTAAAATAATATTTTTAATAATTGTATTTAGTGTCTAATTCTAGGATTTAAAATTAATTAGCTATAAGTTATGGTATTAAGCTCGTAAGTGAATAACTGAAATATTAATGCATAGCATTGTAAGACTATTGTTCGCCAACACTTAAAAGTCAGAGGTCTTGAAATAATCTCAGAAAATGACACTGTTTCTTGTAGGTAACCAGGTAAGATATAAGTTTTTTTTTTAAGTTCTTCGATATAGCCCTTAACCTGGGATCGTTAAGAAACCTGCAATAAATAATTTTAATGTAATACTCGTAAGTATTGTATTATATTTGATTGTCCAATCAATCATTTAATATTAAAATAAAGCTGACAATCCACATAAATATATTAATTATATCATAAAACATAATCTCATAAACAATAATATGCACGAGACATGGATGTATTTAATTTATCGATTTCTAACTATTTACAAACCGGTAACAACACTATCGCTCGGTGATCGCGATTAGCAACACGACACTCGGATCGGTCTTTCGACAGATCCGAATATTGTATATGTACGAGCGGCGTGTATTGGTAAACAACTCCAAAACAATACAAATGTTATTTTCGTAAATTTTAAGTTTAAAAATGAATATATAGGAATAATTTGATTAAAAATGACTTCCTACATATATGAGTTTTGTAAAATTGATGTGGCAGATTACTTTTTGAAGCAAAATAACTGAACGATTCGGCATTTTTGTGGGTCGGCGACGGTCGTCTACTCAGCAGTGCAACTAGATTTAGGTAATCTAATGAGCGGTCCTGCCGTAACTAGTTTTATTGTACGCATATGACCGTGTGGATTTATACTTTGGTAGAGGGGAACGCCTGCGTATGGCTACTCCCTACCGTGTTGCTCTATGGTTGAGCATTTAGAAGATGAGTAGCTTTTAAATACTTTTGCTAATTTTGATAATAGTGTTGTATAGATGTCCACTGACTCTTTGGGGAACCGAAGTTATCCCAAGGGGTAACTTTGGTTCCCCAAAGCTGTTAGGGCAGGATTTAATATAGTATTTTCTAATAAAAATAATCATTATTTCTTACAATCCATCTGTATTAATCAACGTCAGAACACCTTCCCTGTCCTCCTCCCTTATCCTCTGCCTCTTCCATCCTATAGGCCATTGTGACCACTTCCCATCAGGTCGACCAGAAGCTCTATAATCAATCAAATGTGTAATATGGCGTATCACCTTAAACAAATACGAAAAAATCACCCTCATCAAAAGTACGAGAAAAAAACTCATGTAGGTACACTAAACAAGTACAATACTACAACGCAAGCAGTTCCGTACTGGCGTTGTTGGTCGCAATACTAACCTAACCTACAGTTTCAGTTTCTATAAACTAGTTGAACTTTTCATTTAACTAGTACAATGTAAGTAGTTCTGGCGCTTGCCGGGTGAATATTGGACATTCTCCTAACAGGACATTTCGCGAAATTGTGCGAACTGAACATAATGGGACCGCTAGACATTTTGCGATTCGACATTATGCGCCTTAATCAAGAGTTGTGCCTAGGTACCTACCACCTAGGTCGTGTGTTGAACGTTGTGGGCAGCCGAGAGTTGCTTAAACTTCGTCTGAGAGTGAATATTACCAGCTTGGTGTTGGATGGGTACCAACTGGTCAAATTCAATGCACCAGCCCTCTAACTAACTCAAATCGGACTGAGTGGGTTCGCAGACCGTACTTGTGACCTTACGTGATGAGTATAGTCAGATCATTTTACCGTAGCCAACTATATAATAGTGGTTTGGTTTGCATTGGGTTA